CGGCCCGGCCCCGTCGCCGCCGCTGAGGGGCGTCCGGGCGCCGCGGACCCAGCAGCAGGGGCCCCGGCGCGGCGCGCCCCGGGCCGGCGGAGTCTGTCACCCCGGGGGTCTGGGCGGCCTGGGGGAGGGAAGCCGCCTTCCGCAGAGGCCCCGCTCCCGTCCGCCCTAACCCGGGTGCCCCGGCCGCGGGTTTCGGAGCCCTGGTTTACCTGGCTCGGATTGGAATCCGGATTTTCCCCAGAGAGCAGCCACTTGCTGTTCTCTTGCTCTCCTAGAGAGCACAAAGACCTGATTTCACTTAGTTCCAGTAACTTTTCACGAGAAAGAAAAAGAAAAAAAAATTTTTTGTTTTTCTTTGCCATCAGGTAATTGCGGCACGTTTTTGTTTTTAACATTTTGAAAGACGAATAATTGGAAATGGAAGCATACTTTTGGAGTGAAGTGAGTGCCTAGATGTTTGTCTGTGAGAGGTGTGTGTGTGAGAGAGACAGAGGGGAGAGAGCGAGCGAGCGAGCGAGAGGAGAGACAGCGAGAAAGAAATGCCAGCGTTTCTCCTAAGTTTTCGGACTTGTTGAAGGCGCTCTCTGTTCGTACTCTCTCGAGCTCTTCTCTCTGTAGAAGAGCCCATTCTTACCCCGGGGAATAGAAATTGTTACAATCTCTTGCTTCCATCTCAAACACATATATCTGCACAACTCCTCCCCCGAACGTAGCCTTCTCTCGTTCATTTCAGTACCAACAGACTTTCCTGTTACGGTGGGACACAGCTCTCCTACAAATGACTTGGGAAACTCATCACCATGTTTTTTTTTTTTTTTTTTTTGTTTGTTTGTTTTTCCTGGACTCTTTCAGAGAGATGACCTTTCCAAAGGACAGGGTAGTTCTTAGGGTACACTCCCTAAGAACGTGACTAATGACTTTGCAATTTGCATTCTGTGAGCAGAGCTCCTCTGGACTGGTGTCAGCTCCAAACACAGTCCAGTGTCCTGGGCTGGATTCCACATGGAAAGTCTTATGGATACACAAACTTCCCCTCAAGTTTTTCATTGCAAGGAAATAAATAGCAGCAGGGTTTAAGGTAAGAAAGTTTCTGCTTTTATTGAAAATTTATATATGACTCAGTATTGTAATAAATAAACATAACCATTTTCACAAAACACGGTGCTATGCTAGAGAAGATCTGAACGGGGGATTTACTTAGTGCCAAGACGTACTTTTATCAATACAGAATAAATAGTAACAGCATTCTTGAGCCAATGTTGAGCCCCAACAAAATGTAGGAACCAAGCAGGATGTAATAAATAATTCTTCAGAGAAGATGGCGCGTCCTTAGATGGTGCAACTGTCTTTGTAAACTGCTGCACGGCCGTGGCAATCAGACCCATTCTCGCAGCTCGCCCTTCAAGCCACACGGTTTGTCTCTGGCTACCTTAAAAGGCCATCCCATCCTCTGAGGAGAGCAGACAGGAACTTTACAGTCGTTAAGGGAAATGCGAACAACCCGACTGGCAAATGGAACACACGCTCGTCAATACACAGAATATGATCTAACTATGAGATTCAGGTCACAGCGTCACTTACATACGGCAGGACTGGAAAAAACCATTCATGACATTTTCTTATCCCCTTTGCCCCCCACCCACTGTCATTATGCTATTACCAACAATACTATAACAAACATGTTTCAAATTTCCATCCCATCCAAACAGAAGGGAGATGCTGAGCGAAGCCTTTTTTCTGGAGTTTCTTCTTGAGCATCTTCATTACCAGTCATCCACAAGGTGTCTGTGCAAATCTACTTCACATGATTTCAAAACTGGTTTCATGATTAACTCACAAAGAGTCCTTAAAGCTCTGTGGAGCTCTGTGTATTATCTGGAGAGTTGGAAAGGGGTGGTGGTCCAGCAGTACAATCCAGTCAAACAAAATGTTAGAAAGTTTTAAATCAGCCTGTTCCTGGCCTGGGGACCTGCGAGTAAAATGCTGGGAGAGAGCTGGCCTGAGGCTACTGAAGAGCACACTTCTCCTCCTTCTTGGCCATCTTGCCTTTGTTTTGCTCCAGAGTTCGCTCCAAATGCTCATCTTCTTCTTCGGCCCTGGAAGTTAGACGAACAGGAAAGACAGAATTATTTTCCTCATGAAGGAGAGCTGCACCCCTCATCCCCACACAAACCATCTGAATCCCCAAGCGTCAACGGGGCACAAAGGCACTCGCTCTCTTGGGTCCCCGAAATGAACTTTCTGTAAACTCCTCGTCCCCTTGGCGGGTGCCCTCCCCTAAACCACACCCCATCGCCCCTACTCACTGCTTCTCTTGGGCATCCAGGTCCCTGACAAGGGCGTCTCGCTTGTCCACCAGGGCCACCAGCTCGTCCAGCAGGAGCTGTTCCCGCCGCTTCTGGGCCTCGGTCTTCTGCCAGTCTGCAGGGGGCAGGAGGCCAGTTACCACCCGCTGGGACTCGAGCACTCGGAACCTGCCCTCCCCTTCCCGCCTAATCCAGTTTCCTAAAATCTCAGCAAACCGCGTTAACTGGGCCACGAGTTAGTGTTTGCAGGAGGAGTTTGGCCGAGGAGGTGAGGGTTTCACGCTTCAAACCCTACTTTGTAAATACCTATTGGAGATTGGTGCGGCAGGTTAGGAGTGCTAGAAACCAGGTGTGAGCCGGTGGCCAGGAGGGAGGCAGGCACCTGAATCCAGGCAAAGTGGGGGAGGGGAGCTGGAGTCCAGAAGAGGTTGGCCCGGGGCTTGGGGCAGAGGGAGTGGGTAAACGAGGAGGCGGGGAAGCAGAGAAGGGCGATAAAATCCTTGTGAAAGGGCTGGGGAATCTGCCTGAGAACCTGCTCTCCTCCCCACCCCCACTCTCACCCCAAACAGCCCATTCTTCGCTAATTTCCTCCCGCTCTATTTTAGCAGTTGGATGTATCTCACACTGGGCGCCATATGCTTCACAATAACTTTAAAAGTAGTGAATCGGCTAATTAGCATTTTTCTTTGAAGTAAAAAAATAAATTTGCTCTGCAGTATTACACTGCAGCTCTCGACCGCATCACAGCCAGTTTTCTTTTGGAGACATTTGCTGGGTGGTTTCAAATCGAAGCACTTTGCAAGGGGGGAAAAAAAACCCCACATATTTCTTTTTCAAACTCCCATGTTAAAGGTCGGAAAATGCTCTGGGCAGTGCTTTTTCTATGGGTAGGTGGCCATTTTTAAGCCAGTTTTAGTACCCAGTGATATACATAACCTAACCTTTTCAGCTTTGATAATTTCCTCAAGATGAGCAGCAGTTTCACTTGATAAAAACAGGGCCACAATCTAACATTTAAAACACTTTTGAAACCAAAGCCAACTGCTCTCTGGCCAGACTGTAAGGGCTTGTAGCTGTCAATCAAGCCCCAGTCTACCCCGCCTCCCTCATTAGGAAGGTAAACAATGAAAAGAAGAAGTAGATGATGAGGAGATAGCAGAACAAATGAGGACCTGGAGGGAAACGGGACGCCAGCTTTAAGGAGGGGGAGGGCACACCCTGGCCACCGACTCTTACAGCCCCCTCCCCCAGCAAATACACTTTCCAAAAACCAGAAGTGCAGTCCCTCGGGGTTCTCTCTTCTCTCTCCATTGCCCTGGGCACTCATGTTAAACTCACAGGGCTGGTGCTTATTCAGATAAACCTAACAATGCTTATGCTGGTTACCATGTGAATCTTCACAAACCACACAAGAATGTGCTGGTTCAAATCCTCCCCCCCCCCCCCCCAAAGCAAAATTTATTCAAGACAGCAAACTGCTCAGCAGCTCTATGAAAGCAAATGGTGCTACAGGGAATGCTAGTTTGTATTTACAAATTAAAAATTAGAGGCATCACCATGCAATAAAGGTTAGCGAAGCTGGGAAAAGCTAGGAAGGAGTTTACTCAGTTTTATCACTGTTTCTTTCATTAGCTCAAACACAAAAATACATTTATCAAACACACCATGTTAACTAATTATTCACATTCATACAAAACATCACAAATACAAGTCTATCCAATGACTGATCATGATTGTGCTCTCATTTAAAGGGTAAATTATTCTACAGCATGGAGAGGAAGAAGGAAACTTATGGAAAACTGTGTCTGAATTTTAACAATGAATGAAATGTAGAGAAGGCAAACCTATCAGTTTTACTCTCTGGATCCAAGCGGCTAAGGACACAGGAATGCTGGAAATATTTCTAATCTGTTCTTGTTCTTAAGTCTGTCTTGCTCTCCACAGCAAGTGAGTTAACAGACTTTAGGACTGGAAGGATCCTTAACACAATTTTAGTCTCATTTTATGTCAAGAACTACAACAGTTCTTGAAATATCAATTCAGAAAAGATCCTGGAATGATGACTAAAATTTATAATTATTCAATTAGTAGTTTCGATGAATAAAAATTACAGGTTTAAGATTTGTAATTCTTTGCTTTATGATATTTTGTTAAGTTTACAACTAGAAAGCACATTTTCTCCACCATACAGAAAAAAATGTAAATTAAAAATTTAAACCATTTAACAACAAATATATAATGCTTATTAAAACATTCCTCTGAAATTGACCACTTAAAAAGGCTTTAATTATTCAAAATGCCAGGATTTCATTAACATTGGAAAATTAAATTTTAACAATATGAACAAATCAAAGTTCTGTAATCCCCGAAATATTGAATATTTTTAAATCTAATTTTCCCTATCTCAATAACATTTCCCATAATTGAAAAAAACATTTAAAACTGAAAATATATTTCGATACTTTTTAACATTTTTAACTGAGTCAAATTTAACTGATACCAGAATTTAAAATACTATAATAAAATTGGAGGATTTTTGCTGTTAACTGTTATTGCTGCATTTGATATCTCATAAGTAGTTAAATACAGAGCAAATACCTATGTGCAATAAATAGACTTTATCTTAGCAAACCAGTACTTTTATTTTCTATCTTCTTTCTCATGGTAGCAATGAATTATATTACACATGCACACACACACTTATATACTAACATATATATCTGAATGCTAATTGAGAAATTAGGAAACTATTTTGATCCTTTAAAATATTACATGCTAAATTGATCAAGATTAACAGGTATGCTCAAGCTTAAGTTTTCAAAGTCCTTTTAAACAGCTTCCCCTGGACATGTCACATGTAGGTTTATGAATCAATCACCTGGCAACAGACTAGAGTGAGGGACCAGCCAGCTGGTTGAGCTGACTTCAGCTTGGACACACTACAGTGTGGGTTCTGGCTAATTTAAAGATTCCAGGTGCTTCTGCCACAGAAGCCACATCCTCTCACAACAAACAGGGTTAAGTTTTGATGCTGCACTTGGGCCAAAATGTTGAAATAAAGAGATTCTGGTTATGGCCATTTCAACTGAGCTGTTTGTTAATTTGAAACAAACAAACAAACAAAAACAAAACCCTTTTTTCATACATAGGGCTAATCATTCATGCCGTGATTCAGTTTATTTGCTGAAGGTGATAATCAGTTTCTCTTGCTGAAGGCAAGAGAAATGCCTATAAACAGTTTAACAGAAATACCTAAAGTTCTGGTAAAAACCCTCAGCCTTCCCACTGTAAATAAGCCTGACACGTTGATGAAAATTAAGGCCAGTTTTGTAAAGAGCACATTGGGGGATGCAGTCAAGTCTTATCTTTAGTTCCAGTCAACTAGCAACCCTGAAAGAGTTTGCCTCATCATCAGAACAGGCCATTGATAGGATTCTGCTGTGGAGCCTAATCAATCCATGGAAGACTGTGGCTGTGCTGTGTAACAAAGCTAAAATAGATTTACAAATGGGGTTTTAGGGGATAAGCTCCTCCACAGGATTACATATTGATTTTAAATATAAAAAGCTTATCATATAAACCATAACTACAAAAATAGTGAACCTATGCATAAATCCTTTAGAAGAGCACCCACTTCAAACTCTAAGCCAAGAATAAATCAAGATGTACAAATCCTAGAGAAGATCCATTTCTTGTGCAGAAAATGAACATGCCCCTCTCTAAAAAGCCACCCCAATGTCCGCAGAAATGAATTTGTCTTTCCTGAAGGAGCATTAAATAATCTGCAACAAAAACTACAAAAACTACAGAAAAGTATCTGAAAGATGTTTGTTAGCTTGAGGGAGTCTTCTGACTGAGCTCAGTAGAGCAGCACCCAGGACACCACCTCAGGAAAGAGGGAGAGGATGGGCTATGGCTGATTATGAGTTCTCAGAAGAGTGCATGAGTTGAATAGAGTTACTATGATAAGTTTTTCTCTCCAACCACACTGTGAATGCTTCTTCCATTGTTCTGTGGCTTCTGCTTTTCTCTGCTCTCTCCTGGTGCATGCCTTGAGCACAGGTTACTTGGAAAGGGTTTAGTTTAGAACTGTGGCTAAGGAGGAGACGCTGGAAGAAGAGGAGTGCATTTTTAATTAAAGAGAAACAATACAAGGCTACTGCTGTTCTGCTCTGGGGTCTGAAAAAGGCTGCTGAAGCACACGTGTGTCCATGCTGAGGGCAGCCCTGCCTATGTCCTGCTAGATACTGTGACAGACATCTCGCCCAGTGTCTACTTGTCACCAACAGGCTGTTCTTCTCAAGACTCCCTCCCACCCTTCCCTTAATGGGAGACTGACACAGAGACCTGATGAAGTCACATACAGGACAATGCAATTTAAAATACTTGGATGCTAGAGACAAAAGGAAGAAAAGAGGGAGGGGATGGGGAGGACAGAGTCGAAAGACTAATAGTTGCATTTAAAGTTTTTTCAAATATGGCTTTTACTGCTCCTCTGAATGTGTAAGAACCTCATGGAGAAAAAATGGTGGATTCTAAGCCTACACATACAGATGGCCAATGAAACTGGGATATTTTCCATGTGTAAGGGGTGTTATAAAATGCATATTTAGTAATAATACTGCTTTGGGGGAATGAAAACAGTATTTCTTCTCTGCCCTAAAAGCCAATCATACTGTATAAAGCTGTATTTTAGAGACAATTTATCTTTCTATATAGAAGAGGATGGATATAAAAACAAATTAAGACTACTTTACATTGAGTGTAATGTATAATGAATATACTGTATAATGAGTTATATATTATATACAGATACATTATACATATATTCTGCTTATATAGTAACTGCTGCATCTACTTTTCAACTATTTAGCTTTTGATCTCTTTTAAAAACCATACTATAACTAGAAACATTACATCTAAAGGAAAAGCAACATTTGGTGTACTTGTGCATTTTATCGTAGTGGCAAATTTCACAAAAATCCAAAAATAATTTTGAAAAATTTAATAGTTATCAATAATATTTGATACAGCTTGCTATTTGAAGAAAATTAGCTAGGTAAAGCCTTTAAAAGCAAAGTAAATTGAGTTTTTAAATGAAGATATACAAATATTATCAGTGATAGCATCAAGTAAGATTATAGATATAAAAGTAATTAAAGTAAGGCTTCTATAATATACAAGGTCATTGATAAATAGGGCTTATTTTACAGTAATATATTTTAGAATATTTTAAGAATATAAGTCTTCACTTGGCTTTCACTTACAAACTTAAATTTCTAGTTTCTGAACTAATTAGAATTGACTTATGGATCAGGTACCTTATCAGGTGAAAACGAAATTACCACGGACAGTCAATGGGTTAAGAGGTCAATATAGAACAGGAAAATCAATTTACATTGATTAGACAAAAGATCTATTTTACAGAGCCCAAAGGATTAGCTTTTAAGCAAAAAAAATCTTTGACCCATAAGGCATTTTTAAGTAGGCGATCTAAGAAGAGCGTTATAACCACTTGAGAGCTTAAAGAATGGCCGGGAATGCTCACCTTGAGCTGATGCTCACTTGCACTATGAACTGCGCGCAGGGTTTCTCTACCAGTCACCTCATGACTCACAGAAAGTGCGCAAGTACTTCACTTTCTCCTACATCAATCACTGCCCGCATGTTTTATTAACAGCAGTGAAATATTAAGAAGCACAGTGGAGGCCAGGTGTGGTAGCTTATGCCTGTAATCCCAGCACTTGGGAGGCTGAAACAGGCAGACCTCCATGAAATGGCAGCCACCCTGGGCTACATTACTGAGTTCTAGGCCAGGCTATAGGCCAAGCTGTCTAAAAACAAAGTAAAGAAAACAAAACAAAACAACAGTATCCTAATGATAAACAATCAAAAAAAATGAATCTTCACTGAAATTCCCCAAAGGAAACAACTTTCTCACTGACTCAAAAGTTAAATTCTGTTAACAGTAAACACAATGACTAGCTATCCAAGTTAACCTCATGAGTTTGTTTGTGGATACTGTTTTCTGTCTTCAAGGCTTATGTGTAATTCCTGGAGTTACTTAGTCGAATGACCTAGCCAAATGAGATGTATATAGCACTCTAAATCCACTGAGCCCTCAGCCCACTCCTTCCCTTCAATGGCTAGCATGGTCCACCCTCACCTCAGCTCTTCCCTTC